TCTTACCTCACTATCGTGACATTAATATGAGTCCAGCAGATGTGTGCAGTGATGGAAGTGCTGCAGTACAAAAGGAGAGGAGGCTGCTGACAGACGCACAAGATTTATACATCGGCAATCCTCAGCTCCCCTCTGCTCCGAAATAGCTACAGTCCACCAGCCCACAGGGTCCACTCCAAAGGACACACATGACAGAGAGGAAGAGAGGGGACAGCACTGAGGACTTCTTAGGGTGGAAGAAGTAGAATGAAGATATGTGGGATCTCTCATCCTGGGACCCTGCAAGAGGGCAAGGGCTGGGGACATGGACCCATGGCTGAGGAACATCTCAGAGTACTGCGAAAGACCAATAAGAACAAAAAAACCCATTATAGATATATACACGTGGCAGAGGACACACAATAGCATGCAGAAGCCCTACATCAAAGCCCTACATCTCAGTGTGCTAGGTGCTGTATGTTCCCAAAAAGGAGGTGGTATTGGCTGGTCATCTCCTCTCTGGCCAGGTCACTGTATGCCGCAGCACTCCAGGGTTACATGCTCCAGAATGCCTTATTTTCCCATGAACATGCACTTGATTAACATCATGAAATGGTGAATTTTCTCCAAACAGAACTATGACCGTGTCATGGAAAACACCATCCTGTCTGGATTGGGACCAAGAGCACTCTGGTTTGATTTTGGGTACCTGCTCCTATCTCTCGCTCCAGCAGGACTGGCTGTGTCCAGAGCTGTGTGTGCCCTCTCACTGACATACAAGTCTTTGTACTTCAGAAGAAAGAAAGAAGATGCTGAGCATCTCAGAACTGGCCTGTTCAGTGGCAGGAAAATAAAGGTTGCTAAAAGGATGTACGGATTTTCTAGTTGGGAAGGGATGAAGCAACAAGATGAAACTCAGCATCAGGCCAACAGGATAGGATCAGCACTGGGAGATGCTGCTTTGTGTCAGACTCCAAGAAGATGCTGGAAAGCACATGACTGCAGCTGCAGGGCACATGGCCTGGCAAGAATCATCCAGGGGGGATGCTGGCAAGGTGAGCCCGCAGACCTGACCCTTCCTCTGTCCTCACTGGGGACTTTGATCATCTCGGCTTGAAGGTGTGCTGGGCTTTCTGCTTTCTGCCCTGTTTTAACAAGTGTGTTTTGCAGAGCTGGGCACCCTCCGGGCTTATCTCAGCGGTGCTCCACTAAGTGCCACCATGACCCCTTGTCAGGAGCTGCACCTCCCCAGTGCTGTCTGTGTAATGAATCAATCATCAAGAAAAGGGATCCAGAGACCGTACTGATGCAGCTCAATTAGTTTATTGATTAACCAGCTAGCACGACAGCTACTATTATGATTCAAGAGCTCTGCAGCAACAGCATGGAGCAAACCCAGTCTTGCATTTCTGTTTGTGCCCATTTCTTTCCAACCCCAATTTCTTCACAGTCTAGCCCCTGTTGCTCTGTTGCCCTCATCAGTGGGGCACAACACACATGCTCCTGCCAAAACTGCTGCCTGTGGGACATTAAACAAATTACAAGAGCCAAGAGCAAGCATGTGAATCTTGCCGGAGCCCTGCTCTCGAGGTGGCAGCAGGTACGGAGGAGACTTGTGCCCTGCCGAGCAGACGTGCAGGCTCCAGCTGGAGGCAGGTGGGTCAGTCTGGAGGATGGAGCCATAACTGGTTCCCAAGCCACTTGCCAAAACCTGCCCCCCTGGTACCCCCTGCTCCAGGGAGAGCTCAGACGAAGCGATCTCAGCCATCCTCCTGACCCACCTTTGCTCGGATGCTGTTTCTGTTCACTTACCTGTTTGCCATTCCTAGTGAAAAAACTCCTGATGTCCAACTGTCGAAGATACAATTACAATAAAACCTATATTGGGGCTATTTTTGTTAAAAAGCCAATCCAACTTTTACAAGCTACAGCTGACATATATTAAGGGCTTAAACCAAACTTTCTGTGACATTTTGTTGATGTTATCCTGGCTGGTGCTGGTGGATGTAAGGAACAAGGAGAATTATTCCATCTGAATGGTTTTCCTCTTACCTCGTGGGTGTAGGAACCTGCAATGGAGCAACCTCTGCGCACAAGCAGCAGGTTTTCTGTTTTGAATTGTACAAAACACTGAGTAAAGAGATGAGTAAATCCGGGTCCAGGAGAGCCAGCCTGTGTCACCTGTGGAACAATTGCTGCCCACAACTGTGATTCATGCATTGCCTACAAGTGTCCTCTGTAATTCTCTTCACAATTACCAGTCTGGGCCAGCTGGCAGAGCTTTACCAGTACACAGAGAGAAACTAGAAGGCAATTCCTCCTGCAACTGCGTTTCTGCTTGGTTGGTATTGCCCTTCATACCACAGAGAGCCCAGCAGTGCCATCTATTTTATCTCACAGCAGAGAAATGCTTTGGAATTGTTCGCTGTTTGATTCCATAGCTGAAGCACAAAAGATCTCTTTGTGTCATCCCAAAATCTGCTTTGCAAATACCTGGTCCCAGGAAGGATGGGGACCAGTGGCACTGATGGGGGTTTGGGTGGCCCAAGCACTATTCTTAGCTCTGTCTTAACCCACTGAGCAGCTTCTGGAGAAGTCATACACCTCTCAGGGTCTTATTTCCCCTCTTCAATCTGCCTGGTTTAATTAGTTTGTAAACTCTAGTTTGTAGTTTGTGATTTTACAAGATGCTCACACCACAGCCAGTGTGATCAGAACAAGTCACTTTGGCGTGACACTTTTCATGAATTGATGTAAAGCTGATAAATGAAGAAGTCAGCATCATGCTGTTGCTTCTGACACACAAGAAAATCAAGGCCCTTGGTGGGGAAAAGATTTGCCTTTTGTTCAGGAGCGGAAGTTTAAAACAAAAGGCAGAGGTTTCAGCAAAACCTGGCTCTGCACTTTAAGCAACAGTGGTCTGAAAGCAGGCTAATTCAGTACAAAAATTTATGCATCCTCTGACAAAAACATGGTAGAAATGCTGCACGCATGCATCGAAGCTGCTAAGTTACATGTTTGCTGGATGAATGCTGACTAAGGTGCTTCCACGGAGTGTGCAAAATCCCCACCGTTCCTTGGAAAACACTGGCGCAATCCAGTCCTGGAAAGGAGGGTCCCAGAGCTGATGGTGTGGTGGGAAGGGTCTCCTTGGCCAAACACTCTTAATTCAGCTTTCACAGGCTGTTGTGTTGTGCTTGGTCTCTACATGTTACTCCCAATATGTGGCCTGTGACATATCTCACCAGGTATTTGTACAGGCAGGGATTTCAGAAAATGCAGCGCTATGAAAGGTGTGGCTCATCAAAAAGCCAACACACATCAAAAGAATAGGTAAATCCAAATACTTTGAGGAGGAGGAGGAGGAAATGACTGAGATGCCCCCAATACAGTGGTGTCCCAGTGCCCAACCCCCAGCTGGCAAGTCCCTGCAGCCGTGGGGGGAACGGGGGTGGGGGGGGGAATCCCAGTCTGGCCAGGGACAAGGCAGGAGTATGTGGACTTTCTTACTTCTCTTTCTGTCCTGCAGCCTCCAGAGGAGGGACACAGCCATCGCACCGGGGTGTGCAGCTGTAAAGTCTTGGGGACATGCCTGCCAGGTGGGAAGGTTGGGTTGTCATCGTCCTAATCTAGCTGAGACACTAAAGGAACTGGGGGAAAGGTGGATTGACAGGTATAATCCAGAACTGCATTATCTTGTCTTATGGTTCTCTTTTGTGTCTGTACAGCAGATAGACCTCTGAACCCCTGTCTTTAGTCCAGCAATTAAACTTACTACTTCATCATTAAATCTTGTTTAGCAATAAAGCTGAGTCTGATTAATGTTCTCGAGTGGAAACCCTGGGGAATGGACAATGCACGGGGTGCCTCAGCCAGAGGCCACAGGAGCCAGGGTGCTCCCCGTGTGAATCCAGGGCCTGGCTCACCCAGGGTGGGGAGAGAAGTGCCCGTTAGCAAACATTAGCCAGAGAGTCTGAGAGCCCAGCCATGGTCTGTAAACTGAAATCCTCACAGATGTCCCTTCCTTTGTGGTTTTACAGCACTAGATGATGCTGGAGACCCACTTTGGTGAGGCGGAACGTACACCTGAGCGAAGTCCGCTTAGGATAATGTATTGGAGCTTGATAATGCTCCACCGTCGCATTGGATAGATGTGCTGGGCAGGGAACAGCGGCTGATAAAAGCCTCAGCACCACCGCCTCACCTCCAGACCTTTCATCCCCAAGTGCTTTCCTGATCGCTTACGGGAATCCCGTCACCCACCCCCGAGACGCAGCCACCGATGAGCCAGAAGGTGAGTAGCAAGAACATCTCAAAAAGGGCTTCTGAGGACTTCCGAGCTGGCTGAGGACCCTTCCGTGATGGTGTTTTAGCCCGTGTTGGATTAGCGGTGGGTACCGGACAGAAGAGCTGGAAAAGGGAACGTTGTTCCTCATCCGCAGGAGGGCTGGGGGCTCTGATATTTGGGGTCTGCTGCTCAAGAGTGGGAGGACCAGCGCGGCGGGAGGAGATCCCCGCAACGCTCACTCAAGCTGAGGGCACTGCTTACGCCTGAGGTGAGGGGAAAGGGGGCCGTGGAGAAACGGGGGGGGGGGCTGTTCATCTCCAAATCCGTGCTTTAGCACCATCGCAGCGTTCCCGTCGTCCTCCCTCGCCCCCAGCGCTGCCCGCGGGCCCGTACGGGCCCGCGGGCAGCGCTGGGGGCGAGGGAGGACGACGAAGCCGCGGCCCCGACGGTGCGAGCCCCGAGGCTGTGGTAAATGGGAACGCCCCCCTTCCCGCGCCCGCTGCCGCCTCGCCAGCCAATGAGCGCTTCTCCTCCCTTCCTCCGCCCCGCCCCCGCCAGCCGACCGCTTCCCCGATTGGCTCCTCCGCCCGGCTCATTATGCGGCGCAGCGCCGTCGCGATAGGTTGGGGGCGCTGCCCGTCGG